TTGGGCGACCTCTTTGCACAATATCCAGCTTTTCGTGGAAGGCCCGTCTTGAAAATTGTGTGGAAAGTAGTTCTGCAACCAGATCAACGTCTTCTCCTTCAGCCATTTTGAGTTAAAATGCGAGTGACAGCTCTAGCAGACGCGAATCCAATCTTTTTTTTTTTTTTTTTTTAAATCTTTATTGAACAAGTCAGGATACAATTCTCAGGAAACAGAAAAGGCGCTAATCCAATCACCGAACGCGCACGGCCAGTCTCGACGTAAGGCCTCCTAGCTAGCCCTAGTAGGAGACGAGAACAAGTCAGGATACAGATCACGAGTCTGATCTGATTGGCTATTGAAACCTGACGGTGCCCGTTCATTTACAGCGCACAGGGGCCTGCTCTGTTCAATCTGAAGGCCCCGAGCAAGTTTAATTTACATGGCAACACAAGCTAGCTGAAATATGATTGGTTAAAAACTCTACCAAAATAAATAAGTTATTTTTCGAGTGGCTTTCAATGTTATTTAAAATAACATTGAAAGCCACTCAACTAAGTGGAAATAATATGACGTAAAGAATACAGGGAATAATTTTGTTCACATATTTATGAAAATAAAATAACAAATTTATGTTTTTCTCAGAAAAGTAAATTTACTTTTCTGAGAATGTTTAGGCCAGCAGAGAAGGCCTTGCTGGCCCTCAGGGTCCACCACTGGATCTATAACATATAAAAGTGAAAGAGGACACAAATACATGTCATATTTCCAAGATACCCCACAAAAAAATAAACATCTGGCAGCAATCTAGCCCCATACAAACATCTTCAGCCCAGTATAAGAAAATTATGTGTTATACTGTCAAATGATTTTTTTAACTCTTAAATTAAATCAAAATCTTAATATTGTTAATTTTAAAACACTATTGCACCAAAATGTGCGCAACCGTATTTTGAAGATACATTTTGAACTACAGGTTGAAAACAGGAACATCAGCCAACAGGTTACAACAGGTAAAAATAAATAACAGGTGAGGGCTTGGGTCACTGTCTGAGGGTGTGTGATGTTGCTTCATGATAACATCTTCACCCTCAGATTGTGGAATTTAGAGCTTCACTGCGTTCGGTCCTAGCAAAATTTTTTGAAATACCTCAAAGGTGTAGCGCAGTGGAGTGGTGTAGGCCAGGTTGAGGGCGTAGATCACCCACATCAACAGCATTCAGGCTTTCGCGGTGTCACCGCATGCAGGCAGTATCTCCTGTGCTTCTACAAGGACGGAGACATCTACTGGATCCTCTCCCTCAGCCCCATGAACCACCAGGATCTTGAGGGTATGCTCAGCTGCATTGCTGCGATTGTCCTGCTACATGCAATTAACGAGAAAAATAGAACCGTTTCAATCATTTGAATTAGCTGACATCTTTCTTTATCGGCACACAGTCATGAACAAATATCAAATAAGCATGTTTACCATGTTAAATTACTGGTATACAATGCATCTCCTCATCTTACAGACATTCCAATTTCATTGTAATGTCCATATTCAATACCAAGATGAATTGCCATGGCCAGTAAATGGCACCAAAGACTTGGAACAAGACTGGCTAAATGGCACCCATGACACATGAATGACAAGCTGGTGACATCTGTCGCACCAAATGCACTGTACCCTGTTCAAATAAAATCATGTATTACCCAGCAATCTTCAAAAAGGTCATCCTCCTCCTCCCCCGGGTACAGTATGAGAGCACGGAAAACTGCTTCACGTCTTGCTTCAGTGCTTAGGTTCTGTTAAGAGATTAATATTGTGTCAATACAATGAACTGTCAGGGTGAGAACATACAGCAGTAGCATGTGCCAGATATTATTTCCAGGATTGAAGAATATGATATGGAACTGGCCAAAATAGTGAAATGAAAAGGGAGAGCAAATTCTGTAAACCACTTCAATCTCCCTTTCACCCCATACAATTTTGTGTTAATGTGATTAACCACGTACAGTACAATACTCATTAGACATTTTGAAAACAAAAATGGTGTACGTCGTTTTTACACTCACCAAAACTGACTATAGTCACACAGCAAGAAACCTTTAAAAGAAGAGAGAATTATATTAAAACAATGACCTGTGTTTGAGTGGAGGGGGGAGGGGGTTATGTTGTGTATTGTGAATACTGTTCTGCACCTATCTAAAGAAGGACTTGAGTGCACAGACCAAAACCTACAAAAGAGAAAATGTGTCATATATTGAACAACATTAGCTCATCATGTTGGCTTACAACTTAGATTGGGCTCTATTTTGAGGAAGCATTATTTTAACTAGACTACATCAGGATATATTTAGAGACGGTTTTGCTCGATGGTTAAGATGGAAAGAAACGATTACATTAGATAACGTGAGCAAGTGCTGCCAGACACGTGGACATAATTTTTGGCCACGCAATGAGCAATGCCATTCCTGGCGTGTGGTCACACCTGTTCTTCATTAATTCTCCTTGGGTCACACCAAACACTTTAGTGATATCACCATAGTATAGGAAACTGATTAAAGTCAGTTTAACACACTAGTGGCAAGTTAACTTTGGCAAGCTTGATGAATGCAACGGTTTATTGCCAAGTAGTTCAATGAGAACACCCACCTTGAATGAAGTGCTTCTGATACAATGAAGTCATCCAACTGTGGGCGGGGGCTGTCGGTGTGCAGCTCCTCCTTCGATTGGCTGATGCATGCGTGACTCGCGTGCTGCCCTCAATGAGCGTGCGCATTCAAATTGGTTTCAATTTAAGTAAAATGTACTTGGGTTTCTACGTTTTATGCGTCGTGTCTTTTAATTGTGTAAAAGTTATGAGCGACTTTTGAGTGAATATTATTCTTGTATCACAATTTGTTCAGTGTATGAATACATTGTGTTGTATTTACACCATTATTTTGAGTTATCATCAAAACCCAAATTTATATGTAGATATGACATTTAGTAGATGTAATTTACTACACCCAAAAGTTCCTTTTTACAGTGCAGGACCTTGTTCTTTCAGTCACGACGCACAGCTGGTGATCATAGGCGAGGGTAGGAAGGTAGATCAACCCAGTGATTCCCAACCTTTATTGAGCCAAGGCACATTTTTTTTTAAGTTTGAAAAATCGCACGGCACACCAACAAACAAAATTGTCACAAAAAGAGGATATATTTGTCAGTTTCTTACTTTTTACCATCTAACAGAAGGTCATTTATTTGTTCTTGCTGTCACTGTAAGTTGCTGGCATAGATAACCGGACAAAGATACATTATTTGTTGTTAATAAATCGTTTTCTTACCAATTACGTGAATTTTGGTTCGTTCCCGCGGCACACCGTGAGAGCTCTCGCAGCACACTAATGTGCCACGGCACACTGGTTGGGAATCACTGGATCAACCAGTAAATTGAGCGCTTCGTCTTTTGGCTCAGCTCCCTCTTCACCACGACGGACCGAAACAGAATCTGCACCGACCTGCCTGTCGATCTCCCAGTCCAGCCACCCCTCACTCAAGATTATTATCCCCGACCTGGCACTCAACCCTTTTCCTACAGAGGATCCTGCTTTTAGATTTGGAGGTGCAAATCATTACGTTCTGTTTTTATTCTACTTTTATTTTGTTTTATTCAACGTCCCAACTTCATTGGAATTTGGGATTGTATGATGTATTCAAACCGGGATATAGATGGAAAGCTGACATATTTAACTGTCAATTAAAATACAGGCTGTCCATAAAGTCTCTTTACCATTTCAAAAATTTAGTAAAAATGCAATTGATTAGATGTTTTAATCAGATTTGTTCTATTGTATTCAGCATTTATTAACGTTTTTTTTTTACCTCTTTGAATTCACTTCTACATGGGCACCATTAGTTGCACGAAGCACATAAAGACGGTACTCGATTTCTTGCCATGTTCGCTGTAGCATAGCCTCATCAATTGTGGCAATGGCATCAGTAATCCTTTGCTTTAGGTCAGTAATGTACCTTATCTTGGTTGGATACACGATATCTTTAACATAGCCCCATAGAAAGAAGTCCAGGGGAGTGATATCTGGTGAACGTGGCGCCAAGGAATTGGCCCATCCCTTCCAATCCACCGATCTGGAAATGTGTGATTGCGGAACCTACAAACATGCAGCCTCCAATGTGGTGGTGCACCATCTTGCTGAAAAATGATGGTTGATGGTCATTCAGTTGTGGTGCCACATATTCAGTTAAAAGGTCAAGGTAAACATTTGCAGAAATTGATGTCTCGTTGAAGAAAAATGGACCAATTATAAACAAACAAACAAACAAACAAACAAACAAACAGGATCCCTGAAACACACAAATGCAGTGTGCTAAAAACTTTAATAAACACCGAATACAATAGAACAAATCTGAATAAAATATCTAATCAATTGCATTTTTAGTAAATTTTTGAAATGGTGAAGAGACTTTATGGACACCCTGTACTATGGGACTGTAACTGATTTCTGTTCCAGTTTCTAGTGCAGATTTTAATGATGTCATGTACCATATATATGCGATGGGCTGATGGTTGCAGCCAATAAAATGTGTTCTTGCACTACTTTTGCACAAAGGGTATGCGTAGCAACAGTTTTCAAGCAGCCACATTTGCAAAAGGCAGGAAACTTGTGGTAGAAACAGGAAACTTTGCATGCTGTGTTGTCTTGAAAGGGATTTTGGTATATAACAATTCTTTCATCTTCCTCAGTACTCAGAAAACAAACTGTTGCTTCAGTTTCAGCAGAAAGAAAAATCCTCAAAACGAGGTCATTACAGTATTTGAGATAAACTCATTTTTAAGGCTTGTAAAAAGGTCATTTGGTGATGAGAACAGGAAAGGGGGGCATCTGAAATTGTGGCTACTGAATTTAAAGAGAACCCCCGAGTGTGGTTATTTTTTTCTTAACACCACCACCTGTTTCAACCACAGGGGGGTCTTCCTACTACAAATGTATGAATGAGTGTAAGATGCAGGAAGTTGTTTTTTTATATGTATTTTGCAAAATCTCAGCTGTAGCTGCTGTAACTCAAAGAAATTGTCTAAATTATAAACCAAGCTTGAAGAAGGCACACATTCATAAAATAGGGCAGTTGACTATAGAGCAAATCAAAAGTTCAGTTGTTGAGTGTTGCGAAAGCCTCTTTCCCTCTTACGCTGGCTGGTGCCTCGAGGTTTGGTGTTAATGTAGTCGTTTTGGAAATGTTCCTGCCTCACCTTGACCTGCAAACATGTCAAAAGAAAAATAAATAAATATACCGCACCCAAGGCTCACATGGCAGATACTGTAGATATGCCACAAAAATAACAGGATGCGGCCATTACACCTAAAGTTTACATATACTGCAAGAAAATGGATTCAGTCCTTTTTTTACAAATAATTTTTATCCATTCAGGTGCTATCTCCCGCTCTCTCTTCCAGTCCATCCCTACGGTGTTGTAACTTGTCTTTAGTTTACATACTGTCTACTTATTTGGATGCGACTTACCCTGCTGACCACTGCGATAATGGTGATAATGATGCTGTAGACGCAGAGAATTCCAAGCACAGTGATCCAAATCCAGAGGTGTCCATTGCCCTCTTTTGTTTTCCCACTGCTGCATTTGTGACCTAAGAGAACCATTTGAATATGTGCAGTGTGCTGAATGTGCCAAGTGTTTTCTGCTTACCCTCGACATGCACCAGAATCCCCACAGCGCTCATCTCTGTTTTCAAAGGAGGTGGGAATGTGACCGTGCCCTCACACCTGTAGAGTCCGCCATTTTTGGCCATCTCTCCTGTCAGGACAAAGCTGACTGATGTGTTGACCTCACGTAGCATCAATTCAGCACTTGGGTTTGGTTCACAATCCACCGTCATTTTGTTGTAGTTGCACTTTTGGATGTGAATCACTTGTTCATCATTTCGAAGCGCAAATGTCAGATCCTCACCAACCAGCATCGGACACGGGACATAGATTGTGGCCGGGTCATGTTTACACAAGGCTTGTAGTTCATCTGTTGAGGAAAATGTCATTATGATCCAGAATTTTTCATCCTCACACATTGCCCCCACAGCCCACTCTAACTTGAGTCAATGTTCAGAATTTACTCTATTACTGGTAGTTGGAATGAGTCATTCCGGTATGAATAGTAGTTCCAATGAAAGCCTGTGCAGTACTTACATTTGCAGGGACACATGCTCTGTATTGGGTTAGCCATAGAGATCATGTACCCCAAGATTATCCGAATCACCCAGGCCGTCATTTAAAACTTAAGCGGTGGGAAGAATTTGCCTTGTCTCGTTCCCTCAATTCACAGTGGCAGTTTGTCTTCAAGACATCCTGTGACTGCAAACGCCTCCTTAAATTTCCTCTCTCTCCTCGTGTGACCTGTGACCTACGTCACGAGCGCGCAAACATGCAAGGTCAAGAGCTCCACAGACACACAAATGTACGTTTTGGTTTTTCAAGTGCGATACCTTACTTTGAAGAGTACTGTTGTGTCTTATCAATCGTATCTATATCTTGTGCAATGCTATGTTCCCTACAAAGGTCAAACTAACTGTGTGTGTTTCTCTGAAACAACTGATTCTGTAGTTTCATTACCTGATGGTAGAAAGAAGAAAGCTCTCAAAACCTGTAAAATGTGCTCCAATTTCAATTAATGTTGTACAATTTCTTCTTGTGAAGCGTGACCACTGGAACATTTCTGCTTTGTTTTTGGTGATTTATTCTTTTGTGTGTTGTTTATCTATTTTTAATTGTTGTTTATGTATTCTGTTGAATGTCTATCGCAATATTTTTGCGATACATATTTGTTATGTCCTTGTTTATGATGATACTAATGCAGCGTGTTATACCGGAGACAAATTCCTTGTGTGTTCTACATACTTGGCCAATAAAGATGATTCTGATTTTGATTCTGATTCTGAGGTTGAATTGGTAATGACCGCTAGTTGTACTTGGTTGGGCCACTAGATGGCAACACAGCATTGTGTTCTTATAAACCTGTTGACGTTCATCACTGCCGTGCAAACAAGCCAATTTTGTTCAAAGTTGTATTTTCGGTGCCACCCATTTCCTCAACCGATTGTCGTCATTAGACTATCCATTTAACCCAGCGGGTGAACGGATGATAGGCCTAAAGGTGGTAGAAAATATCGACTGATAATATAATACAGTATTTACTTTGCACGGTCACTACGAGCGGTCGATGAATAGGATTGTTGGATAATAGAAGTATTGAGTTCCCAAAATGTTTGTCATTCTTAACTGAAATGGATGAGGCGAGGCGGAGGTTGGCGATGCCAATGAATCACCAACTACTGTATTACTCCAATCACCCATGGGGCGAATAGGCACACGTCGCGTTTTTTGTTTGTAGGTTTGTTATGTAGATAAAACAGGGCACGCATTTGATTCCGTTTCCGTCTGAAGCTACAGCGAAACTAGTATCCAGCGTATACAGTACCGACGCGACAATTGGATTGGACACTTTAATGTCCGATTATGCGTAGGTCGTGAAGGCAACTTGGGTTCTGGGTTGGACAGGAAACGGCGGAGACGCGCGTGTCCCTTACGCGGTCGGGGAGAAGAATAGGTAGCGGTCCGGGATACATGTTGACCGAATTGAGCGTGAAAACATGAGGACGTTTTAAGTTTTAAGTAGTTTTCATACATTTTCAACGCGGCTCACCACCCGAGAAGTGTGACGCATCTTTCCCACACGACTGTTATACCCCCCCCCCCACCAACGGGAAGGAGACAATCGGAGGAGAGGACCCTCTTTGTGACTCCCATTTCACTGTAAGTAGTTTTTTTATTCACTGACCCGATGTGCGTGTGTTCGAATCTCATTTTCCAACTTTCCCTGTGGCGTTCGGGAACGCCCTTTATAGGTAATATCCATTCTTTTATTCATCCATGTATTATCGTTATGCCGCACGCCGTTGACAATGTCAAGAAAAGCAGCATCCTGCCGCATTTCCTCAAACGCTATTGTGATTCCAAAAGGAGCATCTGTAAATCGTGTGGCCCGAAGGAAGGGATATGTGGACGAGCTGTGGGAGCCCCCCAATGCGGCCATTGAATGACTCCTTTCTTAGGGAGAAGGGGTGTGCGTGGTGTTTGGACCGCCTGGGAAAAGGCACTGGCAGTATTTTGGGAGTCGGGTTACAAATGGATAGGGCAGCGATTTTATGTGTTTATCATTAATGCGTTTAATTGACTTGTGGCGATGGAAAGGGATACAGTATTTCTTTGCCCAGTTGTCGCTCTGCAAGCGTAGCAGTCTCCACCCTGACGAGCGAGGGGAGGCCAGCAGCGTCTGCTCGTGGCCGCGTACGGCTTCATTTAAATGGCAATTTTATAACTTTAACGGATCAATTGAAACGTATGAGACATATTTTTGTTGTACCGTATCAACTATAAAATAGTCCGGTTTAATCCCCTTTGTTGAGTGACGTCACCGCCTGGGATTGTGCATCTTGACCGGCGGCTATGTTCACACTAGTTAGCAGCCATTCAAAGCTAACGAACCTACAAACTGCTGCCTGAAGTGTCAAGTCTCAGCCAAACTGCTGGTACAAACTTTGAACACCTATTTGCTTCGACTGGCATAAATGACATACCACCACACACGCACGCACGCACACACACATACGCACGCACGCACGCACGCACACACCATGCGGGGTTGAAAGGTTATTCGCAGGGAGCGGAATGTCATGCCAGCATCTGGCCGGATCCCAAGATTGCAAACATGTGTCATTTGTATGACAAAACCCATCCAAGGTATGAGTGTCAGTCTCTCAACAAAGCCCCTGTGATGCAGAGGGAGTTTTACCAAAACAATATGACACTCGATCAGCCCTCTTGCCCCAGACTTTTATTCTCAGACAGGGCCGTTTGTGCCCTAAAGCAGGGGTCCCCAACCGCCGGTCGGCCGGGCATTTGGTACCAGGCCGCACAGAAAGAACTTGATTAATTCCGTTTTATTTATTTCAGAATACGAAACATGTTTTATTTTGAAAAGCTACCGGATTATCCGTTACATCCGTCTGTGTCACGCTTGACACACGCTTCTCCGTCACGTGACCGATTACTTCAAAACAAAACGCAGGAGCTCGCAAAATGAGTAAAAAAAAAAACTGCTGGAGATCGCAAATGACGGCGGCCTTAAAAGTACGTTCGAGACAACTGGATTAAAGTTATGGCTGAATACTCTGAGATCGCCACAATAGCACTGTTGCTATTTCCGACATCCTACCTGTGTGAGGCAGGGGGTTTCTGGAGCAACGGCGACAAAAACGAAATTACGAAGTAGACCGGACGTAAACCACACACTTCAGGTGTCATTGTCTCCTATTACCCCGAGATGGGACCGTCTGGTTGCAGAAAATCAAGCTCGGTGCTGTGGTGAGTCGTCATTTTCATGCACTTTGAATTTGCGTTGTATCGTATTTTGAAGGCATTAAACATTGCCATAGCGATCGGAGTGTTGCGGCCAGATAAGACGCTCCTTGTGTTTATTATTATATTTCGAAAACGCCACAGTTTTCATGCAGCTCATACCATATTATTTTGTTGTATTAATTCCGCCACACCTTAAATGCCGGTCCCTGAAAATATTGTGTGACATAAACCGGTCCGTGGGGCAAAAAAGGTTGGGGGCCCCTGCCCTAAAGCATTCATGATTTGCATTCTTCGGAGTCTGGTGGCAACAGTGTGCCCCATTTGCTTACACTGCAGTTAATGGATTGTTCGTGTGCGTCCCTGTTGTGAGATGCCTTTTAGCTTTTATCTGCTTAATCTTTAGCAGGATTCAGATTTCACTCTCCATAGAAGATCCTGAAAGTACATATCGAAAAATATTTTTTATTGTGGATTTTTGCTCCTTTGGGCATGTGGCTTTGCATCATGTTCTGAATTTTATTTGTGCAGCTTGATTGCATTGCCAAATTTGTTTTGTTCGTTGATGCCTTATGTCCGGATTCTTAACCCGAGTTGCGGCAATGATAAGCACGCATACAGGTAAGCTAAATAGTAGCTGTACACACACATGATATGTAACACAAGTGTACAAAACATTTTTGTCAGCACACTTAAATGCCCCAAGGTGCAACGTTTGGACTGCTGCTGTACAGCTCAGCCATAAAAAGTGCAGACGGATTAAATTTCCAGCCAAAGAGGTAAAATATGTTGGAAGGGAGTTAGTCATTTCATGGCTACTGTTTAAAAGCACACACATGCTTTGTCATCATTTTCCCCTCTCCATGCTGTTGAGAAGAGAAGTTCGACGTAAGAGAAAACGTGTTTTTTACATTCACAATCACTTGGCTGAAAGTCGATGCTGCCTTCTTTCTCTGCCTGTTTTTTGGCAGGAGCATATAGTTGATGAAATAAAAATAACAGCAGTCAAATTCATTTTAGGCTTGAGCAATGATGCTGTAAGACTGTAGAACATGATGCGTGCTGTTGCGAGAGTCTCTCATGTGCTTGTCTGTCACCGCTTCAGCACTGTGGCGTGAGGGCTGTGCGTGACTTCCTCCCACCCATCCAAGCAAACAGCAACCCACCCGTATCCTTGGGCAAAAAATTCCCCACACAAAAGACAAGGCAGCGGGTGGCAGCAGTGTACATTTCCTCCGGTTGTGTTACAACCGGAGGATGCGGCTTGAAACGTCGACTTCAGCGCACTCTGATGGCGCACCAGAGGCTCAAATGTAACCTGATCCAGCCCCACACACAGAAGGAAATTTGGGATGGAGAGTATCATCGTCTGCAGCAAGACTCAGCTCCTTGCTTCGATTGTGTTTCGGCAAAAGGAGAAGTAATGTGTGTGTTGCAAAGGTGTGTCCCTTCTCTCGCTGCATGCCCATGGTCACCAGCTTGTATAGGCCCTTGTTCTGTTGACATTTTGCTGACCTTTAACAGCAGCTGTCTGTAGCAGTGGGAAATGGGAAATGACGGCAATGATTATTTGGCTTTACTCTAGCCTAAAATCTCACCCGTTTCACAAATAGTTGCTCTTCCTGTTGGCCTTTTCATGCGCAGTCCAAAACTAGTATCAGCACACGCAATGGCACTAAATCACTTGCAGAGCTTTCACAAACATTTTGCCAAATAATGATTCATTAACTAACCTATTTGGCTACACCCTTTAGCTAGGGCAACTGTGACAATCGGGCGACACAGTGGATCCTTTCACAAGATGATCTCAGAAATGAAGTTTGCAGGTCTGACTCTCCATCTTACATGCGGCGCCCGTGTGTAGGCCCCACACAGTAACACAGTAAGACATGAAAATCAAAACTGATATGAACAACAGGGTGTACGCGAAATGAATGTATTTGTAAATCTAAATCAAATGATTGAACTTTACACTGACTGTACAGCATCCCTCTTACAGTTACAATGTTAGCGTTTAGCTGGCATCCAAATGTGTAAACATGACAAACTGAACTTCAACAATACAGTGCCAGGTGGTGCATTTGCTAACTGGGCCTCGAGTAAGGGTGGACCCGACCTAATCTACCTTTTCACAGCACCACCTTCAGGGTGCAGTTGTATAAAACATCAATACTATACAAATGGCATTTAACAACATGTAATTTTGCCAAGTACATAGTCTGGAACAGTTCAGAATCAATATTGATCCAATAAGGAGAGAATCATAATTTTTGAAGGATAAAATACATTATGACCACTTGAGTTGGTGATTATTAAACATTTTTACGTGTGCAGATCTCGACAGATGAGGTCTCCGTTGTTGTGTTTTTCGCTTCATAATAATCCACACGTTTTCAGTGACAGACTGGTTTGGCCTGCAGGCAGACCATTCGAGTATCCGCACTCTTTTGACGGCGAAGCCACGCAGTTGTAACACACGTAAACTGTGGCTTGGCATTGTCTTGCTTAAAGAAGCAGGGGCATCCATGAAAAAGATGTTACTTGGATGGCAGCCCATGTCTCTCCAAAACCTGTATGTACCTTTCAGCTTTAAAGGTCCTTCACAGATGTGCGACTTTCCCAATCCATGTTCACTAACACACCACACAATCACAGATGCTGTCTTTTGTACTTTGCGTTGATAACACTCAGGATGGTCCTTTTCCTTTTTGGCCTGAACATGATGTCCATGATTTCCAAAACAATTGCAAACCAAGACTTGTCAGACCTGGGTGGCATGGTGGGGAAGCTCCGCCTCACAGTTCTGGAGGTCGTGGGTTAAGATCCGGACTCCGACTTTTGGGTTGAGGTTGCATCATCTTCGTGTGCGTCCATGGGTTTTCTCTGGGTGCTCCAGTTTCCTCCCACATTGCAAAAACTTGCAAGGTAAGGTCATTAGAGACTCTAAATCAGGGGTGCCAAAGTCCGGTCCTCGAGAGCCCCTATGCAGCCTGTTTTAGATGTCTCCCTCTTCCAACACACCTGATTCATATGATAAGGATCATTATCAGGCTTCTTTAAAGCTTGCTGATTAGTTGAATCAGGAGTGTTGGAGGGAGGAGACATCTAAAACAGGCTGGATAGGGGCTCTCGGGGACTGGATTGGGCGCCACTGCTCTAAATATTCCATAGGTGTGAATGTGAGTGTGAACAGTCGTTTGTGTATTTGTGCTCTGCATTTGTCTGGTGATCAGTTCAGGGTGTATCCACCGCTCACCCAACGAGAACTGGGATAGGTTCCAGCACACCCATGACTATTGCGAAGATAAATCAAACCTAATTTATATACATGGCACCTCTCATACATTAAAACTGTTACACAAAGTGCTTTACAGGAATAAAAACAGTCAATACTG